AAAACCCGAAAAAGTATAGCCCGCTAACTCAGCCCGCAACGTTAAACGGACGGACTGATTTTTTTTGTGTCTAGCCCGGCCCAGCCCGCCCGTTAAACACCCTTAGTTTGAACCAAAATCGACTATGGGAAATAGTCAATTTGGCCAGTAGTCTTTGCATGCTCTAAGTATATCATAGGTACTTTCCTCTCATCTTGTTCTTCGCTACTCAACTTTTCTACCTTGGATACTTGCAGTATAATATGTTAATATTTGAAGAAATAATAAAAGAAAACATTTATGTCATATTGTAAATATCTTAAAATTTCGAGATACGTAATTTTTAAACAAGAGATTATATTTCCTCTTTATTATTTGACTAGACTCACTTATAAGAATTTACTGAATTTTATGTTGTTGTTGTTGTCGTCGTCGTCGTCGTATTAAAAAAAATTCTTTCATTATATTATACTACACCAAATAAATAATGATGATGCTGTAATAATACTTGCTCTTTCACCTTAATAACCACCATTAAAGCAAGGTATCCCTTAGCATTGAGAAAAGTCTAAAGTCAGTGTTGCCTTTTGCTATCTTGAAGAATAAAATTAGAAGCTGTCACAGCCATATGTTCCTTTCTCCATATTAAGCAGACTTTTATGGAATTATATTTCTTGGAAAATTACATATATATTTTTTCCGAGTAAAAAAATTTCATATATAATTATACCAAAATTGATTTAATTTTAGAGCTAAAAGAAGTAGAGAAGAACTTTTATTCCAAGATGCCCTTCAATTTATAGTCTATTATGCATCTTTTAAAAAAAGATGAAACTTTTTAATTTTAATATTTTTACTTTACTTTTAATAAAATGCGCTTAATAAATGACATGTTGAAGGCATCATGTATCAAAAAAGTTTTCGGTATAACACAAATATTTAACTTATTCGGTAATATTTTATTATATTTTTAAAACCGTTAAATACTATTACGTATATAAAATGAGACGAAAGAAATAATGAAAGCAAAGAATTTATCCCTTCGGGATGGCTCGAGGCCGATCATCTATACAGATGATTTGGGATCGATCCCCCTCCATGTCTTTTGGATCGAGCCTGTCGCACATAACTTAACTAGTGTAATTTATATTTCCTGTGTGATTTATATGTTATTACACAGTGAAAGTTTATATAGTGCGCACAAAATCATCACCCAAAACACAAATGTTATGACAGAAGGTGCAGTGGTTGCAAATTTTATTGGAAGTTTCCAAAAAAAAAAAGGAAGAAGCAAAGAGGGTTTGCTTTTGTTGGCTCGATGAGTGAGCTGATATTTGCTGCTTCCAATTGGGTATAAATACGTAGCCCATCTCCCTACGTTTTCTCTGTAAACCCTTAGAGAGCTTCAGCCCCCCATTTATTATTCTCTTTTTCTTTGAAATCTGAAAGGGAAAGAGAAGCAGAAAAAGAAATGGGAGAGAAGCCAAAATCTGGAGGTGTTTGGCCCACTGTTAAGCCCTTCGTTAATGGAGGTGCTTCTGGTATGCTTACCACCTGTGTTATTCAGCCCATCGATATGATTAAGGTATACCCCTTAAACCACTTATTTTTTAATGGCTATTACTGTTCTTGTTTGTGAAGATCCTGCCTTTTTGATGTTTTGAGGGTGTTTTGTTTTTAAGATGTGTTTGGTTAGTGGGTCAGGTTCAGATCTTGGCTCAAATGAGTGTCATTTTGGGGTTTTATTGCCTTTTGTTTTGTATGTGATGTTTGGTTTTGATCTTATGGTGTAGTTGGTGACTTCAGATCTTAGATCAAATGGGGATTATGTTGAAATGTCTCACTTTATTCTTCCAATTTAGAGTTGCTTTTGTGGTGAATGAACAAGATCTAGCCTTAAAAAGATTGTATCTTTACAGTAGGAATTTCTTTGCATCTACCTATCTGTTGGTACCAGAGTTACCCTATACCTATGCTAGTGTGAGTTGGGAGGTAGCAGCTATCCGGCGGAATAGTCGGATTGCTCTCAAGCTGGCACTAATACTACCAATCCACCATTATAACAAAAACTGAATCTTTGGGTTTTTTATGCAATATGAGATAAAGTTTGAATCTTGCAGTTTGCAATGCTCCTTCTTAATTTTGATGGGATCTATTCTGATTTATGGTACGTCTTTCTTACGATGGCAGGTGAGGATACAATTGGGTCAGGGATCAGCAGTTGACGTCACCAAGACAGATGCTTAAAAATGAAGGCTTTGGTGCCTTTTACAAGGTTTGTTCCCCTGAGATTTATATTGGTTTAAAAAAGTCCTCGATTAATAATGTTGCACCATTTACCTGTTGGTCTCCGACTGAATGATTCTTTATTTTATCTTAGATCCCAAGAAACAGATAGGTATTTTAAATCCCCACTAATAATGAGTGTACTCTGTTCTTTTAAACTTGGTGCTGAATAGGTTTGTAGCCCATACATTATAGTATCCTCAAGAGGGACTGATAAATCTTCTAATGTTTTACCTTGGTTACGCCTTACTGGATTAGCTACTTTTTTGGAGCTTATGGTATTGTAGCATTACTTTTTACTACTTCATATGATCCTGAAAAGTTTAAATGTCTGAAAGGAACAATTTTCTGAAATTCTTTGTCAATCAATAGTACACTTGGAAAATATCAGCAAGAGAACTAGATGATGCTTTCCTCTAGAAATGAGCTGGTGAAAGTCTTTCTTTATTTAATACAAATGTTTTACGTCCTGCAATACCCATCGTTGGTGTAATGTGTAAGAGATACTCTGATTCCATTCAAACTTTTAATTGGTATATGCTACAAGTATAATATATCATGGATTAGACAGGTGCAGAGTAACATAAATTGGATTATATAAGGTGACTCCCAAATGCATTAACTTATCTGTAGATGGATGTCATACTATCAATGCAAAATCTAAGGCTGATGTTTTGTGTCAAGGTTGTCCCAAGTAATATTGTCCGTTATTGGATCAGCTTCATTGAAAGCTGATGGCCTGATGCACTTTATTTAATGCATAACTTTCTCTTAACTTTTTGTGCTGTATGGTTTTTTGTGATTCCATGCCATCAATTATTTTATCGTCATATGCAGGGTTTGTCAGCTGGGCTTCTTAGGCAGGCAACCTATACAACAGCCAGACTTGGGTCATTCAGGTGACTGTTTGTCTAAATTTGTCTTTTCTCCATTCATATTGCGCCGGATTTATTTAAGTTTTCAAATACTATTGATACTATTGATATATGTCAAGGTTCATAATACTTCACAGCCCTTAGGATTGCCTTCTATTGTTCTTTGATGCATCTAGGCTCATAGTTGTGACACATCATTGATCATACCCTCCCAATAGTATGTCTTATACATTACATACGAGTGCGTAATAAATTGGAGGTTTTCAAAGGATTTACTCTGGACACCACCAATATTCTGTATAATACTTTTTGGGTCACACCTTCCTTCTCAGGTCTAATTTTTCCATTTGGCTTTTTTGAATCAGAGATACAGTCTGAATAAATGTGATTCTATAGATGAGATATCACTTGAGTTGGTCCCAAGAGCACACATTTTGTGGGTAGAAAGTTGCCACGGCCTTACCATGCTTCTGATTCCCAATGGGACTGAAGATCTCATAATAAAAAAATGTGAGAATCTTGAAATACTTTCGGTGGCTCAAACGACGTTGTTGGGTACTTTGGATATTAGCAACTGCGAGAAGCTGAAGTCGCTGCCAGAACATATGCAGGAACTCCTTCCATCTCTTAAGAAACTAGAACTACTAAATTGTCCAAAATTAGAGTCCTTTCCTGAAGTAGGATTGCCCTTCAATTTAGAAGTCCTTAAGATCGTTGATTGTAAGAAACTGGTGAATGTGCAAATGGAGTGGGGTTTACAGAGACTCCCCTGTCTCAGAAAGTTAACCATCTCCCATGATGGTACTGACGAAGAAATTCCAGCTGGTGAAAATTGGGAGTTGCCTTGCTCTATTTGAACTCTTTCGATAGACAATCTGAAAACATTAAGCAGCCATGTTCTCAAAAGCCTTACCTCTCTTGAATATCTAGATACTAAAAATTTACCTCAAATTCAGTCACTGTTGGAAGAGAAGGGCTTCCCTCGTCTCTTTCTGAGCTTGCATTAAATCGCCACGATGAGCTCCATTCACTACCGACCAAAGGTCTTCGGCGCCTTACCTCACTTCGAAGCCTACATATCTGGAATTTGAGAAGGGGGATTACTGGCCAAATATTGCTCATATTCCCAACATAGTGATCGATTGGGAATACCTGTGATGATTAAAACGAAGGTGGTCTAACAGATGTAAGTTAATTCTTTTTTATCTCAGCAGCTTTTTATTTTTGGTTACTTATATTGGCTTGCTTGTTAATTCGTTTCCTTTGTTAAAAATCTTGTTGAGCAGTGAAGAGTCTATTACCACTATGAAACACAGGAAGCATCTTCACTTTGGGATGAACGGTGATATGTTGCAGCTACATAAATCTTTATATCTGCGCTAAAACATTGTAAGAGAAACCAGGTATAGGTTCAGATATTTTCTCAGCTAGATTGTTTTTTCATTAATGTAAGAGTAATCTTGCCTAACCGATAGCAAAAGCATGTGTTCCTTTTTCAGCATTCATGTGATGCTAGCCTAAGCCTAGGATGGGCATTAAACTTGTCATCAGGAATTTGATGAGCATGAAAAGATACATTTAACTCCTATAGGACAGTATATTTGTAGTTTTTATGTCTATTATGGCCATCTTATAAAGAATGCGGGGATTTTTAGTTTTGTACGAGTGTTATGAGAATTGTCATCTCTAGAATGGATTTATAGAAAACTAAGGGAAATTTCCTATTTTCTTCTATTTTGTCAGGAATTTGACAACAGTACATGGTCTGATTGATCAGTCTCTTTGCTCTATTTTGAGAATGATTTGGCAATGATTCCTTTTATTCGTTATATTTTGTTGAGCAGTGTGTAGTGTCTATTTGCACTGTGAAGCCGAGGAAGCAGCTTTGCTCGAAATGAAATTTAACGTTAACTGTCAGAAGAGTTACTAATATGTTGCAACTACAGAAACCTTTATACATTATGACAAAAACTTATTATAAATAGGATTTAATAATTTGCTCTAGAAAGTAGTTAGCAAAATGTAATAATGATAAACTAGTCATCTCAATTGCAATTCACATATTGCACTCTTCATCTTAGTTGATGATTTTTAGTTCATGTATTGCTTGAACTTTCATCTCTATAGCAATTCATATATTCTTGTTCTTTCCCCTTTTCAGTAAGTTGAGCAAGGAGGAGGTGGTTTAGAGTAATGCACATGTCCACTATTGAGTGCGAAGCTCTAACAGAATTAAAAGGTATACGCGACACAAAGTTTGTCTCCTATCTATAAAAAATACTAGAAAAGTTTGCTTCTCAATATGATTATTGGATATCAGCTTAGCAATTATTTTTATCAGGATTTGGGTAGCAATATGCAAGCTATTACCGCTCTTAGCTCCATTGGTGAATGGAAAGTTCATGTCTCAACAATAAAGAAGAAAAATAAGACACGGACTTTCACATGAATGTGGACCACTTAAATGAAGAAGTAACTTACACATCTCAGATATAAGGAAGAGTTTCTGTCTGCAGTTGAAGTCTCACATTAATGGCCTGTTTCTCAGTTTGAGAAAGAAAAGCTGTATAAGTATTAATTCTTATGTTGAGCATCGACAGTTTTGATTAAATGACGGGGAAAGACTATGTCCTCTTTGAGCATTTATTCTCTGCTGATTTTCAATCGTGCCAAGTTTTTTAGACCAGATCTTGTTGCTCTATATGGGAAGGAAAAGCTGGGCAGAAAGTTGTCAAGGATCATTCTTCTGTGAAATGTCCCTCTAGCCAAGGGCATTATGATTGGCAGCTGGAATTTAGGCCCTCGGTTTCCCATGTGGCTCAAAACTCAACAAAAAAAGATAAGGTATATTGACATATCAAATGGTAGAATAGAAGGTGAAGTTCCAACTTGGTTTTGGAACTTATCTTCTGAAATTCTATTTCTCAATCTTTCTAACAACCAATTTGTTGGTGAGGTTCCAACCATCTTACTACTAGCTTGGTCAGATGTGGGACAATCAATGTTTTTGAGTTTTGACAATTTCAGTGGTCCTATATTTCGAGTTTATCAACTTTGAGCCTCTTGAATTTGTCTTATAACAATTTAACAGGAAAGATATATGTGAGCACTCAATTTCAAAGCTTTAATCCTTCAGGTTTTCAAGGAAACAATCTTTGCGGGTTTCCACTCTTGGTGAGCTGCAGTTCAGGTGGTCAAATTCCTAATGTTGATACTGAAAAGTATGAGAGATGAAGATAAATTGGATTGGTTCTACATTTCAATGGTAATAGGATGTGGTCTAAGCTTTTGGGGAGTATGTTCGTATTTGATTTTCTAGAGATTATAGTGACATGCCTATTATCGTTTTTTAGATAGTACTTGGGAATCCTCAACTTGTCCGAAACATGAAACATCTAATTTTTCAGAATAGCAATATCATTAGTCATCTCTCTCCCTATATTTGTAACTTTACACATAAGGACTTTCCAACTGCTATCTAAAAAACGATAATAGGCATGTCTCCATGATCTCTTGAAAATCATAGACGAGCATACTCCCCTAAAGCTAAGACCAAATCCTATTGCCATTGAAATGTAGAACCACTCCAATTCGCCTTCATCACTCTCATCCTTTTCAGTATCGACATCAGGAGTTTGATCACCTGAACTGCAATTCACCATGAGTGGAAGCCTGGAAAGTTTGTTTCCTTGGAAACCTGAGGGAATAAAGCTTTGAAGTTGAGTGCTCACATGTATCGTTCCTGTTCAATTGTTATAAGACAAATTCAAGAAGCTCGTAGTTGACGAACTTGGAAAGGTTTGTGGGATTCGACCAGAGAGTTGATTCCGGAAAGGCCAACAAATTCCATTGAAATATAGAATGAAGTAGAGACGTCTCTAATCTTGTCTTGGCTTTGCCAACTAATTATGGACTGCTCTACACTGGCACTGGGCGCACTCTACTTAAGTATGTGAAGGGTATGCTGTATATGCACCTAACCAGTAGTAAATTAGGCCTTTTGTACTCTGATTCTATGTTTTTGCCTACGGAATGTTCAAGACAGAAATAACTATTCGACTTCTGTATTAAATTTTTTGATTTGTTGGATATGATGTTTGGTCTTAGTGTTAAAGCAAACTTGTAAGACGGAATGTTTCCATAGTGGTTGAGAATGCTTTCCTATTTATTCCTATGTGTCCATGAAACAGAGACAAGTTTGTTAACTTTTATAATTTGACAGAATAGTATAAATATACAACATTTCATATTTTTATTTGCCAACTCCACTTTGGACGCACAAAGTCTCGTCTTTGAGAAAATTTCATCCCCCAATTCCAAATTAGAAAGTTGTGATTCCTAGCTATTTCAATGCAAATGGTATCATTAGTTGTAAAAGAAAAGGAAAAATATCTGCGCTTAATTAAGTGAGATCCAATTAGTGATTCAAATTCAGACTTACATTAAGAGAAAACAAACAACGCTTAAATCACATTTATTGAGTTTTAAACTATAGAGGAATATTTAGCAATATCATTTTGAGACATCTTGAGCTTTCATCATTTTCCTGACTAAAATGGGAAGAAGAGGATCTAAAGAACTTGTATTCTCTCCTTTTTCTTTTTTTCTTTCTTTCTTTCTGTATTACTTGATAGTAGAACATGTTATGCGTGCATTAATTTGAATTTTCCTAGAAAGAGTAATTGTTTAGAATCACACCTTCTATTCCAGCATGCAGTTCAAGAGATTATATATTTGTTTTGCTTCCTTAAAGAGTTTTGTTTCACTTAGGTTGAAGTGCTATGAGTCTATACCGTCTAATATCATATAAACTTCATTTTTTATGCTAATACCTACTCTCCACGCCAAAGAAAAAATAAGATCACGTTTATGTAGGTACGAAGGTTTAAATTTTTTTACCCTACTATAACTACGGAGATTAAAATAAACGCCTAAAAACATATTTGTGAATATTTATCTACTTTTTGTTGAATTAAAGTAAGTATTCAATTAGACTTTTGAGAATAACACTCTCCTCAATCATATCCCTCCCTATAATTGTAACTTTGCACACAAGAATTTCCAACTACTATCTAAAAAGCGATAATAGGCATGTCTCTATGATCTCTTGAAAATCAAAGAAGCACATACTCCCCAAAAGCTTAGACCAAATCCTATTGCCATTGAAATGTACAACCAATTCAACTCATCTTCATCACTCTCATCCTCTTCAGTATCAACATCATGAATTTGACCACCTGAACTGTAGTTCACCACGAGTGGAAGCTCGCAAAGTTTGTTTCCTAGGAAACTCGAGGGGTTAAAGCTTTGAAGTTGAGTGCTCATTGGTATCTTCCCTGACAAACTGTTATAAGATAGATTCAAGTAGCTCAAAGTTGACAAACTCGAAAAGCTTTGAAGTTGAGTGACCAGAAAGTTGGTTTTCTGAAAGATCAAGGGATTCTAGCACTTTCATGTCACCAGTGCCATTTGGGATCCTACCTGTCAGATAGTTTTTTGAGAAATCACAGAAACTCAATCCCACAAATAAGAGTATCTCTAGAGAGATTATTGTTCGACATATCAATGCTTGTAAGCAATGCCAATGTGGTATCATACCAGTAATTATTGCCTTTAGTTGTCACCATTGCGCTTTCTCTCACTAATGCTCCAAACAAATAGAAAAGATCTAACTTTTTATCAAGTTTCCCTAACTTATTTCCGGTGACCATTGCTGTTAAATTGCTAATACACCTTGGTATAATTTGACAGAAACTATTGTTTGTAAGGTCTAAGATTTGAAGAACTCTGAGGTGACAAATTTCTGGAGGCAATTCACCAAGAATTTGTTCGAGCGAAGGCTAAGGATTATCAAATTTGAAAGCCTCATTCCCAACCATGGTGGTAACTGTCCAACAAGCTCATTCTCAACTATATCTATCTTCTCCAATATTGTGCAGTTTCCCAACGATGACGACAATGGACCGATAAGGCTATTTCTTCGGAAGTCCAATGATTTCAAATCTCTTAAAACCTCCATGGATCTTGGTATGGCTCCAAATAAGTTGTTGTCCCTCAAGATTATAACTTCCAATTCTGGTAAATTCATCAAACATTCAGGAATTTCTTCTGACAAGTCATTTTTCCCAAGGTTTAATATCCTCAATTTGTAAGGTCTGTTCTTTGCTTCACATAAGAAGTTAGATAAACCTTTTGAAAAGGAATTGTTCGAGAGGTCTAGCCCAATTACATTGGTTGAAATCTGAGGCAGCGGACCGCTGAAATTGTTGGAATCCAAGTACATTAGCCAAGGAGTTTGTCCACGTGACCAAGAAGGTGTTGAGATGGTTGGAACCTCACCAACAAATTGGTTATGAGAAATCAGATTTGAGAAGATAAGTTCCAAAACCAAGTTGGAACCTCACCTTCCAACCTATTGTTAGAGATGTCAAAGATTTCTAACATAGGGAGTTGGCCAAGACTTTCTGGTAGAGTTCCAGTTGGTTTATTGTTTCCTAGTCTCAAATCCATCAAAGAAGAACTATTTCTCAATCCTGCTTGAAGGAAATTACTCCCATCATTAAATAATGCAGATAATTCTCCTCGAATAGATTTACTTAGAGATCAAGCGAACCTAATTTCGATAACTTTTCAATTACCTTTGGTAATTTTCCAAAAAGTATATTTGTAGAAAGGTGAATACTAGTTATTGAGATCAAATTTGAAATCACATTTGGAGCTACTCCCTCAATATTGTTTCCACGAAGACTAAGTGATTCCAAATTTTTGCATTGTTATAACAAATTTGGGATAGTGAAGTTGAGGTTGTTGAATGCAAGATCAAGATTTTTAAGTTTTGTTACGTTTCCAGCCTCACTCGGCATCACACCTTCAATACCACTACCAGGAAGCTCAACATTTTTAAGATTATTGAGATCAAATAACTATCTGGGTAAAAGACAATTGAAAGAGTTGTCACCTGCTCAAAAGGTCGTGAGAGAAGTCAAGTTAACAGGACCTTCAGGAAACGGGATTACTATATGTCAAATCAAGAGAAACAAGACGAGGGAGATTGAAAACCCATTTGGGAATAGAAGAACTAAAGTTATTCCCAGAAAGATCGAGAGTTTCAAGTGAAAAACAATTATGATAGAAGTAGAGGTAGTATATTAAGAAGGCCACAATTATACAAACGAAGATCAACAAGAGAAGGAAGCATGTTAATGACATGTAGCCAGTTAGTTGCATTGATGAGCTCCATAGTATGAATCTCTAGATTCTTTAGATTCAAAAGACATGGCAGCCACTCAAGGTTATTTGTCACGACCCCAAATCTCCTCTGTAGGATGTCGTGATGGCACCTAGTGTCTAAAATTAGGTAAGCCTAACAAACATGCGGAATAACTGAATAATAATTTAAATCTCAAAAACATCAACAACTATATGAAATAAAATCTGCAACTCAACATGTACATCTCCCAAAATTCGGTAAAAATATAAGTCACAAGCTCTAGCTACAGTACTGAACACTCATATACATCACTGTCTATACAGATGTAAAAAAATAAGAAAAGAACAGGATAGAAAGGGACTCCGAGGCATGCAGACGCGAGAAGGTGTACCTTGAAGTCTCCAAAATAAGCCACTCACGCGCTAATACCGAGGCTGATAGAATGTACCTAGATCTGTACAAAATATGTGCAGAAGCGTAGTACGAGTACACCACAACAGTACCCAGTAAATGCCAAGCCTAACCTCGGTAGAGTAGTGACGAGGTCAGGTCAAGACCCTACTGGAGATAATAATAAAACAAGACAGAAGATATAATGATATAATGATAATTACAAGGAAATCAAACAACAAAGAATTTACGGAAGGATAACAACACAGAATCAAGGCAGCTAATACAACAAGAAAGGAAAATAAGGATTTTACATGTTAAGAAAAACAACAACCAAACAAATATATAACAAATCGTGAAAGATCAACAGGGGTACTCTCGAGGTACCGCCTCGTAGTCCCAAATCATAAAAATAAATCACAGTCTTTTCTTATATCACCGCAGGAGCCTTTACATTTAGTTTTGAAAATTATTTTTTCCCGAAATAGCACCCTGCGTTTTAGTCCACTTTATCATACTGCATGGCTTCTAGTAGTTCCCCTATTAGCCACGCGTATCAAGCCCACCTTATTTCACCGCATGCGTTTCAACACCCATACCTTATACCACCGTATACGTATCAATAATCACAACGGCACGGCAGAAACCTCATGCAAATAGTAACAACATCACGACAAAAACCTCGTGCAAACAATAACAACAGCACGACCTAAACCTCGTGCACACAACCAAACAGTCACCTCAACAATAACACGAAAGCCCAAACATAACAACTAAATAAAATGACACTTCACAACTTACACCTTGCCTCAATAGAAATCACAGCCTTTGCAACTCAACACCAAACCTAACAACAAGATATTTCAAGAATAGCAAATTTCAAGTAGAGAATTTCCATAGTTAAATGTTGAATATAGAATTAAGAAAGCAAGTAATTCAATTAAATATGTAGTACAAGTTGCAATTAAGAGATAAGACAAGTAGGCATGTAAAATTTGGCTAAACATGGTGACTATAACATGCTAAAGTAACTCAATTAAGGCATGAAAAAAAGAAACTACATAGCTAAAATCAGAATCTCAACATTTAGACCGTGTACGCACTCGTCAACTTGCATACACGACCTTCACATATAACAAATTATCACAACAGTACCAAATCTTAAGAAAAATTTCCTCCACACAAGGTTAGACAAGTCACTTACCTCAAATCATTCTAAATCAATAAACTAGAAGGCCTTTCCCTCGATTTTCCAACTTCGAACGACTCGAATCTAGCCAAAATAATTTCATACTATAAATATAACTATAGGAAACTAATTTAAATAATAAAATTATGATATAAGCAAGGAATTGAAAAATCGCTCCAAAAAGTCGACTCGGGTCCGTGTCTCAGAACCTGACCAAAATTATAAAATTCGAACACCCATTCGATATCGAGTCCAGCCATACAAGAATTATTCAAATTCGATCCCATTTCGCCTTTCAAAACTCAAGAATTAGTCTAAGAACTTCTACATATTTTTCCCTAATTTTAAACTCCAAAACACAAATTAAAAAACGTAATTA